CAAACTCCCCTGCCTTCTATCTAACCCCCCCGCTCCCTACCCCCTTACCGCACTGCCTGAAGCACCGGTGGCTGGTGATGCTACAGCCGTGCCGCCCAGCTGGAGCCAGGACATGCTGCCACCGCCGCACAGCACAGAGCACCGGGTCAGGCCAGGCTCTGCAGCTGCGCTGTCCCTGGAGCTCACAGCCCCAGAGCATTGCGCCGGCGGAGCGAGCGAGCTGAGGCTGCGGGGCGACCGCAGGGGAGGGGCCGGGGGCTAGCTCGGGGGTCGGGCAGGACGGTCCCACGGGCAGAATGTGGCCCACGGGCCGTAGTTTGCCCACCTCTGCTCTAGCCGAAGCCTGAATGTCTACACTGCCATTTTTAGCCCTGCAGTCCAAGCTCCACAAGCTGGAGTCAGGTTACCCAGGCCAGCCGTGGCCATGCTGCAGTTCTTTTATTGCAATGTAGATGTATCAAGGGGTATATCTACATTTCAATTGGGAAGTGTGATTTACACCATGTGTCAACATTCCTGTGCTAGCTTGGCTTGAGCTAGTACCCAAGAATGCAGTGTCTCCGCAGCAGTGTAGGCGGCAGCTACCCAGGCAGGAACGCAGGAGGTTGGGCGGAATTATACTTGGGGTGGCTAGCCTAAGCAGCCACCTGGGCTGCCGTGGGTACAGTGCTACTTTGAGGCACTACCTTCAGCAGAGCTAATGCAGGTACATCTTCACAAGTTGGGACGCACACCTCCCAGCTGAATGTTGACATATCCTAAGACTGCAACAACTTGCTACTTACTCAGTCCCGAAGGAATTACTCCTCTAGCTTAATGGTAGGCGGTGGTGGTGCTACGGTTCCTCAGTTTGATTCCAACTGATGCTCAAGGTAGCTTTACACATGTGGCCACTGTGTGTTTGTTACATGAGCATGCATCAAAGTGATTTTTCAATTGCTTTATCATGTTTATTATTGAGCAAAGCCTATTCCTCAGTGAGGGCTCTGTTCATGCCAGGTGTTGTGCTCTCCATTTTTCTTGTGGCACTGTTCAAAATGTGTGTCTAGAATTGTTTTCGTTGGAAAAAATTGGATTTTTCTTTTCCCAGTCTCCCATGACTCAAAGATAAATGCAGGGATTGTACTCAAATGCCTGAATAAAAAAATATCTCTTTAGCCAGAGACTAGGTGTGGGAATTTATAGCTCCAAAACTGAATGTGAAAATAAAGGGTATTCATGGAACATTTTACAGCCTCCTTTATAGTAGGTACTACCAGGTGTCTGTGATAAAACAAACCAGCTGATTCCCTATCTGTGCCCTATACTTCCCTTTCGTATACGCTGATGGACCTGATTACATTGTCCTGGAAGATACAAGTTAAAAACCAGTTGCAGGCAGCTAATTCTTGTTATATGACCTTGATAGTAGAGCTCCCCGAGCTGCTCCTTCGGATTGCTCTTCTAGTTGCAGGTTAAAAGAAGACAGTGGGTTTAGTTCTGCTGTCAGTTACACCACTGTAAATCTAGAGTGACGCCACTGAAGTTAGGGAGGGGAGTTAACTTGAGATCTAGGAACCAATCTAAAGTCTTTCAATTGATTTGAATGGGAGAGGGATCGGGTCTTTAGAGTGGTGCAATGGAGAGCAGATTTTGGCTCAGTGGGTTTAACCATTAGAAGAGACTGGAACTGAGCAAATATTCTATACAAACTGACTTATAAAAATCTTTCAGCCAAATTCTGCTTTCAGTTATACTGGTGTAAATCAGGAGTATTTCCATTGCCTTAATTGGAATTACTCCAGATTTAAAGCAGAGTTTGACCCTGTATTGTTTAAATGTCATAATAATACCTAATTCTTCCATAACATTTTTTATCTACAGATCTTAAAGTGCTTTACAAAGGAGGTCAGTCGTTATCCCCATTTTACAGAGGGGGAAACTGAGGCATGGGGCGGTAAATGAATTTTCCAGCATCACTCAGCGGGCCAGTGGCAGGGCCAGGAATAGAACGCCTAAGTCCCTGCAGCCCAGAGCTAGATATTTGTACTTATCAATACACTGGGACATTTGCTAGTCCTTCCTGCAATAGTTTTGCAAGTGGAATTCCTGTGGCTTTGAGGAATTTTTCACTAAATTCCATTGTGCTTTATTAAATGGAACAAATTTTTATTTTGAGCTTACAGTGTATAATGACATTGTAACCAATATGTGGAAGAGTTTTTTCATATTCTTAGATGTACATGCTTTTCCAGAGTGCAGCTTATATGAGTCTTGGGTCCTCGTTGCAGATCCCAGAGGCTTCATATTAAATTTTTGTACGTATAATAGTGCTAATCCTGGAAGGATACAGTAGTGTAGACACAACAACATAGTGGCGATACAACATATAAAGGATTAACATGTGGCCACTTTCTTCTAATAAAATAACCTGTTCTGGTTAAGATATCTGGTTTAAATGCTGGGAATAAGGACAAGTGCTGGAACTGGGACAGGTGTCTCCCAAAACAGGCACACCCACAATGCAAAATCAGCACGACTGTGTATCATAGAATCATAGAATATCAGGGTTGGAAGAGACCTCAAGAGGTCATCTAGTCCAACCCCCTGCTCAAAGCAGGACCAATTCCCAACTAAATCATCCCAGCCAGGGCTTTGTCAAGCTGGGCCTTAAAAACCTCCAAGGAAGGAGACTCCACCACCTCCCTAGGTAACGCATTCCAGTGCTTCACCACCCTCCTAGTGAAATAGTGTTTCTAATATCCAACCTGGACTTCCCCCACTGCAACTTGAGACCATTGCTCCTTGTTCTGTCATCTGCCACCACTGAGAACAGCCGAGCTCCATCCTCTTTGGAACCCCCCTTCAAGTAGTTGAAGGCTGCTATCAAATCCCCCCTCATTCTTCTCTTCTG